ACTATACCTTCCCATTCTTCACAACTCCTCTTCCTCCAGAAGCCCAAAGTGTGGCTCAGATGATGCTCTCTCCCCAAGACCCAGGGTGATGACCTATCACGGTCCCTCAGGCTGCTGGCCGCGCAGTGGGACGGGCTGGGCCCCTGGGTCCCACCACGTGTAGGGAGGGCGCCGATGTGCTGAGTCCACAAGCCCTGTCAGGCTGAGGCGCTAACTACTGCTGAACATTTTAATCAGGCCCGGGTTAATAAATCCCGCCGCTCCCCGTTTTAACGTTTCAGCCCCGAGGTGGGAATGTCTCGTTCAACAGCAAGCTCTGCGGGCGTGCTTTGGTTTCCACTGGAGGATAAATAGGTAGCAGACCTACTAATGGTTTTACTCCTCCAACCCTCCTTCCAAAACGGGTTGCGAAGGACGAATGCTTTAAAAATACCATAAAACAAGATCTGGAAGGACTCTGACGCCTCCAAAGAGCATTAAGATGGAAATTGATGTTTTTACTCCATCGTGTGCACTGTTGAAAGAGGCTCTGGAACAGAGGTGGACGATTGTGCCTTCTGACTACGAAAACACTTCCAGCCCAAACTGCACCTGAACTCACATCAAAACACAGGGTGATTCCCATCACAGTTCTCATCAACCGTCTGATTTGGCGGAAAGCCGGCTTTTTCAATGACGACGGGTGGTCAAGCAGCCTGGGCAAGTGCCCGTTCCGGGAGCCTCTGCACCGAGGCGCCTTTTCTACAATGTCAGCTCACCTCCGTAGCTCGGAGCCGGGGTGCACGTCGTGGCCGCCTGCAGCCGGGGGTGAACGCGGCCGCCGCTGTTGGGGCTGCAGGCGGCAGGGGCCGCGCCCCATGGTCACCCAGTGGGTGGAGACCCGAGGCCAAGGGGTCTGCGAGTGGCCACTACAGATCCACTCAGCTGAGGACCCACTGTGAGCTGGGCACGGGGTTCCTGGCAGAGAACAAGCCGGATGTGCTCCCTGTCCTTAGAATCAGATAATCAAATAAGCCCCTGGATGAACGAATGACGTGACCTGGAGGAGAACCATAGGATCCACAGGCAGCCGCGGTCACGGAGAACGGGCCAGAGCCCAGTTTGGATGCAGCGGTTCGGGAGCAGAGGGACAGGGACAGAGCTGGAATTCAGAGAGCATCCCGGGAAGAGCACGTGATGAAGTGGGGAGCTGCGTTGGAGCTGGTCACGCAAGGCCTCGCAGGCCAGGAGTCTGGCGTTGATGCCGACCCCACTGTGGGGCCAGGAAGTGTTCCAGGTCAGGAGCCCGTGGAGCATCCCGAGGGAAGCCTTTTCAGAGGTGGTCCTAGGGACAGCCCTCTTGGGCTGCACAGCGAGACACAGCAGGGGAAGCAGGCCCCACCCTGAGGACTAGGCGCTCTGGGAGGACAGCCCGGGAGCATCTCTAGGTCAGGGAGGCGACCCCACAGGCGGTCCCTCTCACGACCTCGCCCTGGCTCAGCAGGCGCTGGGAGCTGGCTTTCAGTAACACTCTCTGTGACCCCCAGAGGGGTCGTGGGAGCACGTGGCCCAGAGCGATTTGAACCTGACCACGTGCGTTTGACAGGAGCTGCGGGCCACGGGCAAGGGGCTCCCGACCTGGATTCCCCCAGACCCTGCAGGAGTTGTGGTGGCTGTCCATTGGGCCCAGTAAGCCTTCCAGTGCTGCCCACATAGGAAGGGACCCGGGGAGGGTGAGGGGCCGAGGGTGGGGACCTGCTTTCTGGGAAGAATCCAGAACAGGTGGAGAATGCCGGGAGGGAGCGCCGCAGGGGGCCCACCTCCTCGTGGGGGCCTGTCAAAGCTGCCCGGAGCGGGGCCCTCCATCAGTAGCTGCACGTGTTCCCTCCTGCAGCCCCAGTACTGGGTCCTACCCCTGCCATCCCTCAGTGCGGACGTGGCATGTGGACAGTTCAACCACTGCGTACAGAGGTCTAGGGACCTTGGCGCCTCACTGCCTACCCCAAGCCTCTTCTGAGCTGCTTGCGTCCAGGTGGAGTGGCCCCGGGGGCTGCTTTGCCTATTGCAGAACAACTGGGTCCCCTTAGTCACCAAGACCCATCTCCCCCACCTGGAAGCCAAGGAGGAGGCCCCCCGCATGCCCCGCTCCCTACTCTCAGCTCTCGGTCCTGGGCCAAACAAGCCCGGCATCAGGCTGAGATGAGGTGAATTGAATGAATGAATCATACCCTGAGCAGGTGCCGCTGGCGGCTGGCAGCATCCTTTCAGGTGGGAACTTGGCAGAGCCGTTCTGGCTTTCCTGCTTTCTCTCGCATGACAGGCAGGTGACCCAGACTGCCCTTCCTCTCTGCTCTTCCGCTGGCTTGCCACGCTGCTCCCGTGGACAGCGTGCCTCTTGCAAAAGTCACCTGCTGCAGGAGCCCCTGGCATGCCTGGGCATGCAGGACAGCCCTCACAGGGAACATCTGGGTTTTCTTGTCCATTGATCTGTAGCTGGCTGGCAAGGAGAGGTTAAACAAGGAGGTCATGTGGGGCCACTGGGCAAGGCCACCTGGGCCAGCAGGAGTCTGTGACATCCGTCTGTGGCTTAAACTTGGTTAAAGAAGGCTCTGGGGGAGGAATAGCATCTCTGGAGATAGGAGAGTATGAGGGCAGAGGACCTCTGTCTCTGAGCCCTGGTGGGCACCCAGGAAAGCTCACGTGACCAGCCGAGGTCCCTGTCCACCCTCTGCCCCGTGTGGGTTTGGGTGGGCTCTGGCCACTGGGGTCAGTCCTTCTCCACACTGTTCTAGTGTACATGAGGGTAGACACTGAGTGTGTCACAGCCTCCAGCTTCTCATGTGTGGACATGGGCTCCTCTGGGTGGCTCCCCCAGTTGTGACGGTCTTCGTGGCCATGAGTTTCTGACACAAGTGGGCCCCTCCTGAGACCCCAGTGTGGTTCCCCAGGTTGGAATTCCTGCCCACTTTTGTCCACATGCGTTTTTGAAAGCCCCCATCCCAGGAAGACAAGCCAGTGTGACACCTGGGCCTGTCCCTGGTTAGAAGGTGGGTGGGCGTGCTCTCTTTCCCCCACTGGTCATGGCCGGCTCTGGCCTCCCGGAGCAATGGTGCGGGGATGTCATCATGGAAACGGCATGGCCCGTTTCTCTGAGCCTGCCCCTTGAGCACGCATAGCCCCACGTGGGGCCGGCTGGGGCGTGTCTCACTGTCGGACGTGGGCGTGGGAACGTTTGCTCTTTGTGAAATAACGGAAAGCAAGAAGTGGCTCTGCGTCTGCTGAGAAGTCCGTAGGGCAGCTGGGGCGGTGCTCGTGTGATCATGAAAGCTCTCAGACAGTGGGGTTTCCTCACCCGGAGTGGCAGGTGCACATGGTGGAACAGATAAAATGTCAAGAGACCAGGTCTGCCCCGATTTCTGCATCGCTAGGGTCTTTGATTTTTTTTTTTTTTAAAGATTTATTTATTTGAGAAAGAGAGAACGGGTGTGCGTGTGAGTGGGTGGGAAAGGGGGGAGGGGCAGAGGGAGAGAATCCCAAGCAGACTCCCCACTGAGCACGGAGCCCGATGCTGGGCTCTGTCTCCTGACCCTGAGGTCCTGACCTGAGCCGAGGTCAAGACTCCGACGCTTAACTGACTGAGCTACCCAGGTGCCCCCTGTGTTAAAGTGCACATAACATACAATTTACCACCTTAACTGTGTTTGAGGACAGAATTCTGTAGCATTAAGCCCATTCACATTGTTGTGCAGCCGTCCCTACCGCCCGCCTCCAGAACTTCACATCTTCCCAAAGGGAAACTCTGTCCCCCTGAGTCACCGACCTCCATCCCTCCCCCCATGCCCACCGTCCACTCTCCGTCCCCCTGAGTCACCGACCCCCATCCCACCCCAGCGCCCACTGTCCTACTTAGGAACATGACAACTCCAGGCACCTGCAATCAATGGAATCATACCAGGAACACTTGCCTTTTCCGACTGACTTCTTTCACTGAGTGTAACGTCCTCGGGGTCAGTCCATGTTTAGCAGGTGTCAGAATGTCCTTCCTTTTTACAGCTGCGTAGTAGTCCACTGTGTGGATGGACCGCACTGTTTATCCATGCATCCTTGGATGGGGACTCGGCTTGTTTCCATCCCTGGTCTGTTGTGAGCAAAGCCACTGTGGACAGGGTGTGCAAACGTGGGTGGTTCCCAGAAGTGCATTTGCTGGAACCACCTGATTCTCATAACCACGGACGCTGCCCCTGGGCATTTTCACGTCCTCATTCTGTGTAGAGTCAGGAGCTCCCACGGGACAGCTAGAGCCATGGCCTGGCCCTGAACAGATCGGCTGCAGGCCTGGAGTGTGATGTGCCCTGTCTCAGGCCGTGACCGTCTCGGTCTCTCTCTGCCCCTCCCCCTCAGGCCGGCTTTCCTGCCTGGTGCCAACAAGGACACGCTGTCCGCCTTCGAGTACCCGGAGCCCAAGCGGAAGCTCTACAGCGCAGTCCCGGGGAGGCTCTTCGTCGTCGTCAAGCCATACCACCCTCAGGTCGACGGCGAGATCCCCCTCCACCGCGGCGACAGGGTCAAAGGTCAGTGTCCACCCCACTTCCGGGGCTGGGTCAGGCCGGGCCCCCTCTGCCTCAGCTGACCCTCTGTTGGGGTTTCGGCATCGGAGGCCTTGTTTCCCGGGGCCCCTGGAGGGGGCCTGGAGGGGGACGTCTGGAGCCTGGGAGGGCAGAACGGGGAGCAGACTGGGCTCGCCGGCCATCCTGGTGTCTGTTAGGGAAGCAGCACATGCATGTTGGGGATGAGATTCCATTGCAGAAAGTGCAGGGGGAAGGGGCAGAGCTCCTTTCCACCTAGGAAAGCCCTGAGGGCCCCGGGAAGACGTGGCATGGAAAGCCCTGAGGGCCCCGGGAAGACGTGGCATGGGGACGGGGCCTAGCACAGGTCAGATTTGGACATGTGTTCCCAGGAGTCAGGGAGGCGTGTCTAGGGGGATGGTCTGGCACAGCCTGGAGGCCTCCAGCGTTCCTGGAAGGAAGTCCACCAGGTTGGAAGTAACAATTCCCAAAGCAGAATTCTGGGAAGTGTGGTTGAAAAGCATGGGAGGCCTCCAGTAATGCCAGGCCAAGGAGTTAGGCTTTGACCCCAGGGTACTGGGGAGCCAGCAGTGGTTTCTGAGTAGGGAAATCAGGTATGTGAGGCCATTCAGGAAGATGGGTATAATTAGGGCCCTTGCAGGAGGTCAGCCTTGGTGTTGAGGCCGTGGGGAGGAAGTAGAAAAGCTGCAGGTGTGGGCTGCAGGGCCACATGGGAGCAGCTGAACTCTCCAGGTAGAGTAAGAAAGGGCACACCACGCTGCCCAGCTGTGTGTGGGCCCTGTCATTGAGGACAGGCTTTCAGAAGACACACAGCAGAAGACACAGTGATAAACGGTACGCCCCTTAGAGGTCGGCAGGCCAGGGCCAAATCCTGCCTGCCCCGCCTTGTCACCACCAGGCCTGCGCTGGCTCGTAATCCAGCGCCCTCGTCTGTGCCCTGCACGAATCCAGCTGACCTCAGCTGGGATTTGCAAGTTTCTGATGACAGGTGGAGCCCTGTTCTCTCTCGGCTCCTCCTGGTCATCCAGGTGCGCGCAGAGTTGGCCATCTGGTTAGCAGGCACAAGTCCCAGGGGCTCCGTGTTCATTCCAGCATTTTTCTTCGCCTTCGACTGCTTCTATTGATCTATTTCCAATACCCTTTCTTCTGAAATGTTCCCTTCACTGTTAAGTCCATCTTGTGCGTTTTTTAAATTCAGAAGTCACACCTTCAAACTCTAGAGTTTCTACATGTTTTGGTTTTTTTTTTTTTTAATCATTTATTTTTATGCAAGACTTCTTGTTACCCTGTTGGGGTTTCTCGCTTGCTGAAAGCACATGCTGTGTTAGGTCACTGGCGTGGTGCGGTCGGCACGCTGAGGTCCCCATCTGCAGTCCGCGGTCAAGGCCACCTTGGGCTGGGCTTGTTCAGTTTCCTCCCCTCTCGCGAGAACAGGGTCTTCGTGTGTCTCGTGATCTTCTATAGCGTCATGGATGTTAGGCGGGTTAAGTTGTGGGCATTTCTTACATTTGGGTGGGTTGCCTGGGTGACCGCTCCGGGCCTGCTCAGATCTGGAGCTCAGCTGAGCTGAGCTGCTCTGTGCTTGTTCTGCGCACAGTTGGGGATGTGACGAGGCTGTCTGCGGCCTCTCTCAGGCTCCTTCCCGGGTGGGGACACCCCCACTCTCCGGGGTGTGTGCTTTCTCCTGGCTTCATCTTTCTGGTTCTTCAGGCTGCTCGGACTAAGGGTTTTCCCCACGGGCCCCTCCCTCCTCCCCCACCCACAGCCCTGCCTTGTGGACAGGGTGCAGGCTCCCGGCTGTGGAGAGGGGCTCTCTGGCCCGGCTCCCTTCCCACAGGCCCCCAGGTGTCCCACCAGGCCTGGCTGCCTCTCTGCACATTCTGGCACCTTTCCCACTGCACATGGGGTACAGCTGCCTTTTGGGGTGTCCGGGAGGGCCATGTCCCATCACACCTATAAGTTCAAGTCCCTGCGCTGTCCCTGTCAACTTTACTGCAATATTCTTGTCACCTTTTACATTATTAACATTCAAGGTATAAATGTAGAAATTCACACCACCTGCGATTTTAAACTTTAGTCCCAGAACGCATCGCAAGGTAGACTTTCTCCCGGACGCGTGAGCAGTTTCCGGTTGTCCCCCCAACAAGGATGCTGCGTCTGCAGACAGGGTGGCTGGTAGCTCTGCCATGGCGCTCACATGGGGCCCCAGGCAGAGGGCGACAGAAATGTTTTTGCTGCTGCCGAGGCCCTGCGTCTTTCTGGTATGACCCCTATGCCACAGCTGCGGACGGTGTCCTAGAGGGGCCCTGGGGACGCCCCGCTCCTGACAGAGCTGGCAGGCCAGGCCTCGCGGCCCCTCCCCACCTCCTCCCCTGCCCCCTGGGAGAGCCGCTATTCTGAGAAAGCTGGGAAGGGCAGGCCCCCCGGACCTGCTGCATGTAGGAGCTCTGACTACTGTTGGGCGGTGATGTGCGGTCAGACCCTGAGCCCTGGGAGGCCGGTGGCTCGTGTGAAGACAAAGCACCACCCCCTGGGGCCTGTTCTCATGTCTGTGTGCACCCCACCCACCGCCCTCCGCGGCCCCCAACACACCACCCGGGTCTCCCTGCCCGGCCCCACTCTGAAATTGGCTAAGCCGTTGGCCCACAGCCCCGGACTTTTCATTCCACACGGGCCCACGGAGCCCTGCACCCCAAGACCCACGCAGGGCTTCAGGCTGGGCTGGTAGACCCTGCGGAGCCTGCCATGATACTGGCTGGCTACTTTGTACCTGGGGACTCCATATGTCAGAGACAGTGACAGGAGCAGCCAAAGGTGGAGACTCTCATCAGTGAGAACCTACTGTTTACTGCACACACTACTGGGTGTTTTGCATATGGTTTTGCGTGAACCTCATAGCAGCTGTGGGCCAAAGGCATGGGTGTGCTCAGATGGTCGTCACAGAGTCCCTCAGTCTGGGGGGCTTGAACAATAGGATTCACTGTCCCCTGGTCCCGGAGGCTGATGCCCGAGATGCAGGCTTCAGACAGCCGTCCTCCCCCTGGGTCCTCCCGGGGTCCTCCCTCCGTGCGGGTCTGTGTCCTGATCCCCTCTTGTAAGACCCTGGTCACATGGGATCAGGTCCACCCTGGTGACCTCATGTTACCTTGATCACCTCTTTAATGACCCCAGCTCCAAATGGAGCCCCATTCTGAGGTGCTTGGGGTCAGGGCTCCAACATAGGAATTTGGGGGCATGATTCAGCCCAAGCACCAGTCTTCTGCAGACACGATAACCCCGGTGAAGACCTCCCACTCTCCCACAGCTGATGACCAGGGGCTGGGGGCTCCAGATCTAGTTGGCCTGGACTCCAAGCCCATGCTGTCTCCCCCCACCCCGCTTTGTCTGTCCCGACTGCTTCCTCCGTGGTCTGTTGCTACCAGCTCTACCTGGCTGTGCCCATGTTTGTGGTTGCGACGTGTCTTGGAGAGAGACGAGAGGCAGATTTACTCTCTCCCCAACGTGTTCCCGTCTGGACACCTAGCAGTCAGCCCGCGTGCTCTGCTCTGGAAGGAGGACGTCATTCATTCCCCCAGCTCCCTCTCACTGAGCACTGGCTGTCCCCAGAGCAGTGCTGGGGCCAGTAAGAGGGGGCAGGAGCTCGGACCCAGGTGTGATGCGAGGGCACCCCATGTCCTGGCTTAGTCCCTGGGAAGCGGGGCATAACCTGCTAGGCTGGCTGGCTCCCATGTCCGGAAGGAAGTTCAGTGGAGAGGGGTTGGCCATGAGTCTTTGGCAGCCTTTTTCACAACAGCTGAGGGATGGTGCCTCTCCTGGGGAAGGTGTCTCAATTAGGGCACCAAGTGTCCACTACGCTGGGGCCATGGGAAAGGGACAGTCACACAGCACCTCACTGGCAGCACTCAGACTCCCAAGTGTGGGGTCCTTCGAGGCTGTCCTTAATGCTCCCCACTTTGGCCGACTTGTCCTGTGGGAGCTTTGACTGAGGAGCATGCGTGGCCTGCAGATCAGGCTTGCACAAGGAAGAATCCAGAAGGTGGGAGGGTTGCCTCTGTGTTGATACTCAGAGACGCAGCCGAATTGGTGGGGTGTGCCTGTGTGGGTGCGTGGGTGCGGGTGTGGGAGTGAGCGCACGCATCCCTGTACTGCATCCCCGTTGACAGGTAGGAGTCTCTAGCTGGGTCTCCATCGAGGGGCTAGCATTCCTGCCATCCACCTGGGTGAGTCACGATCACGGTCTCTGATTTGGGCCATGGATGGCACAAACACCCCCTTCCTCCCAGCCATGCCTGGTTCGGGAAATGGAAGCCCACCACAGGCTCCGTGGGGCCGACCACAGACTGGCCACTAAGGCTGGTCCCACGCTGTGGGGTGACGAGAGCTGAGACCAGGTGGGCAGGTGGCTGGGACTGAGGCCCCCGTGGTGGGGAGGGAAACTGGAGGCCCAGGGGGGGCCAGTGGCCTGTGCATCCGGCCTGCACGGGGTCCCTCTCTGAGCTTGTTGGAGGCCCAAGAAGGGTGTTCTGGGTGGGGGTTGAAGGCTCCCAGAGGTCCCACCAGGCTCCCCCAGCAAGTCTGCAGGGGCAGGTTTCTAGGGGGAGTCAGCACAGGGAGACAGACCGACCACTCTTGGAGGGAAGGGAGGCTCCCAGCCAAGCCCTGGGCTGTGTTCTCCTTCCCAGCCTGTGTCCCCTTGGACATGGATGGGAAACAGAAGTATAGGGAGAGGAAGGGGCTTCAGGTCAGGGGGTAGGGGGGCCATGGGGGTGGGCAGTGAAAGGTGGAATCACAGGAGACCCTAAGTCTGCAGCCTGGATGAGGGGAGGCCAGGGGCAGAGAGAAGGTGGCTCAAGGCAGAGGTGTGGACCCAAGCCGCCGCAGATAGGTCTAGGGCCAGGCAGGAGCCCTGTGGGCAATGGTACCAGGGGATCTGCCCCTCTCCACATATGTCCACGGGCATCGTCCCAGGCTGGGACCCACCCCTGGCTGCAGGAGAGCAGGCTGTGCGGGGAGCTGGGCCAGTCCCCCACGGAGAACAGAAATGATGGAAATCAGTTCCCAGACTTTCACCGCAAAGGACGGATGCAAAGGACTTCTCGTCTGAAGACTGCTGGGTGGGCCTTGTGGGCAACTCGCAGTTGCCTCGGAGCCCATGATGCTCGGCTGGGGCCTCCTGCCCTCCCGGCCATGCTGTGCGGCCCTGGTGTCCTGCCTGGCTGGCTGGCGGCTCTTGGAGACGGGCAGCCAGAGGTGAGCCAAGGGAATTGTCCTCCCTGGATCTCAACGGGTACACAGCAAAGGCAGGAGGCCTGGCTGCCCGGCGGGCGGGGGCAGGAAATCTGGAGGATTTCCAGAGAAACCCAGCTCACTGCTTCCAGGGGGTGGGGTCCTGCTGATAACCCCCAGCTCCCTGGCTGGGCCCTGACTCTCACTGTATTCACATATTTGCTGCTTGGCTGTGGAGGGGAGGTCTTCGTGTTCCCAGTGAACCGCTGAGCCCGTGCATCTGGGAAAGCATAGCTCAACACATCTCTCCCTAAATGTGGGTTCCCCGGGCACAGGGGTGTGCTTGCTCTTGATCCCCCTTGTGATGCTTATGTGGAGGAAAGCCCAGGATGGCTTAAAATTCAAATGGCCTGCAGGGGGCTTGGCACAGAATGGGGAACCCTGCCACTCAGGCAGTCCCTGCCCAGGGGCTTGCTCCCAGCACTCAGGTAGGTCCTTCCTCAGTGACCCAGGCAGGGGTGGGGCAGAGCTTGGCAGAGGGGGTGGGGCCTCTTGCAGTGAGGGTCCTGCCCAAGCCTGGTGACCACACGGCTAAGCTAGCACCAGTACTTACTGGTTCCCAATGTACAAGGTAGGGCCGTGCATCTCTGGAGGGGAGAGGCCCGGAGGAGTAGCCAGTTAGTGGTCAGCTGGACGGGCACCTCTTCCGACCATGTTGCTTAAGCTGCGGCCTCGGAACGTGTGGGCTTGTGTAGGGCGAGTGGATACTGTGTTCGTTCTCCGTCTACTTTTCAGTGCCTTAAATCGGCAATTTATGGGTGAGCCCAACCTAGCTCCCTCTTCACTTACAAGGAACACACTTCCCCACCTGGACACAGGTGTGCCCTGAGGAGGGGGTTAGACAACAGCCCAAGCGTGCAAGCCCGATGTCTGGCCGGTGGCCCAGCATACACGGTTGTAGGACTCGCTTGCAGCTCCCTAAGGGCAGAGGGCCCGTCTTGCCGACGGCCTAAAACATAGTAGCATGTTCCAGATGGTACCCAGAGTCGCACGCACACCCCCTCACGTGTGCCTCTGCTCCTCCCTCTGCCAAGAGGGCTGCCGTCTAGCGCTTGCTCACCAGGCATAGAGGATGCCCTGGGCCTGCCCCCGGCCTCTCCCCGCATCCAGCACACAGCCTGCTATGTCCCCCTCTCCTAATGGAGCTGAAACCGACCCGGTGGGCAGGGCCCCTCAGCCTTCCTTCTCTTCCGCTGGTCTTGGAATAATGAGAACACACTCGGAAGTGTGACTCGGTGCCCATCAAACACGAAACCGCGGTGTGTCTTCCCTGATGGGCCGTCTGGAGAGAAGCTGTGAGCAGGGAAGGAGCGCCACACGGAGTTCTGTGTCTCTGCCTCGCACACAGTAGCGCTTCAAATAGTATCCCGCTCCAACACGTGAGGGAACCGAGGCACAGGGGGCTAAGTAGTTTTCCTGTGTGTCACGTAGACAGACGTGTGGCTTCGGCCCATCCAGCACATGGGCAGGTGCCTGGCCTCCCTTTGCTGCCAGGCAGCACTCCATCCAGGATGACCCTCTCAGGTCCGGATTCTTGGGGGAAGCTGCGTGCATCCCCCCACCTGGGTTACTTGGGGTATAAGGGGCAGCATCGAATTTTGGAGGAAAGGCTTCAAGAAATGTCTTCCCATTTCTATGGTGCAGAGTGGCCCCCGTGGACAGGCCCACCACCCTTGTCTCTGAGGGGATGGGCAGGTGCAGGGCTCCAGTTTCCCCCCTCCCCCCAGTGCTCCTCACCTCGAGGCCAGACAGAGCGCGGGGTCGGCACATGGCCCCTCGCTGCTCTTCCATCTCCTGCTGTCAGTTGTCTTTCCCCAAACTGGTCTAAAAGATCAGGCAGACCCTTGGACCCCTTCCCCAGCTGGGAAGGGGCACGCATGACCTCATCGTTCTTCCATCCATGGAGGTGACCTGCCCTACCACTGTGACACATGACATGATTAATGGTGGTGACTTGCAGTTCCCCTCTGCCGTCTCAACTGGGACACCAAGACGGGGGACAGACTAGTCGCAGGACTTGTGGGGTCAGATAAAGATGCCAGGAGCCCGGCGCTTGCATGCTAAGGGCAGAAGAGACTTGGGGATCCCAGCGTCCACGCCCTCGGCGCTGTCCTCTCCGAGGGACACTGCACCGGGTCCCCTCGTCCACAGTTGAAGGAAGCGTGGACGGCTGGCAGACGGACCAGAGCTGCCGGCTGTGCAGGCTTGGGGGACGGCCCCACGCTCTTGCCATCCCCTCTTCGTGCTCACCCCCAGGCTCCTCGAGTCCGCCTGCTAACAGCTTCCCCCTCTTGCCTCTAGTTCTGAGCATCGGCGAAGGAGGCTTCTGGGAAGGCAGCGCCCGCGGCCACATCGGGTGGTTCCCGGCCGAGTGCGTGGAGGAGGTGCAGTGCAGGCCCAAGGACAGCCAGGCAGGTAAGGCGGGCGCTGGTCTCCACGGCCCTCGGACCCGGCGGTGCCTGCTTACGGAGAGAGGCGGCCTTTCAAAGCAAGGACTTCTCTCTGTCATAGAAACAGGTTGATTCGATTCCTCTGGGCTCTGTCCAAACCAGAAATAGGTTGCAAGACGGTGCGGAAGCTTTTAGTTAAGGGGCTGCTCAGTACATGTTCCAGAAAACTTGGATCGTTCCTTGTAGCCATCGGGGAAGGGCTTTCGTGGGTTGACTGAATCTGCAAGGCTAGTTATCGATCTCCTGTACTGATGTCGCACATGGGCAGCTTGCGTTCACCGCAAGGCCCTCCTGTGCCCTCTGTTAGAACCACACGGTTTGATGTGTCAGTAAACACCTCTCCGAGGTGGTCGGTGTTCGCGAAGGGAAATCACTTCAGCGTCTCTCAGAACTCCAAATATAGCCTTTGCTGAAAACCACTTTGAAATCTATTGCCAAAAGATTGAATTGATTAAAATGTTAACAGGAGATCATTTATATACAATGGCCTTGGGAGGAAATATGGTGCTTGGGGAAAAGGGAAGCACGTGAACCCGGTCCGTGCGTGCACTCCGCGGGCATCGGGCAGAACCCCAGGCTCACAGAGCACACAGCCAGTGGCTTTGCTGCGTCTGCTTGTGCCGGCTGGTGGTCCCCTGCCCCGTGGCCTGTACCGCTGGGAAATGAGGTGTCCTGAGGATGCGTGCTCTGGAAAGCACGGTGGTCCCCGCTGCACGTGGCTGGCTTTGCAGACTTGTCATCGGGGATGCTCAGCTGGGAAACCGGGACATTTGCCGTATGGTGGGGGTGTTGAGGTGAGAGACGTGCTGAGCTTAGGTTTGAAAGGGAAGGCCAGAGTGTGCCCCTCTGGGGAAGGCGGCTGGGCGCGTCCGTGGGCAGCAGGTGGGTAAGAGCTTGCCTTCCCAGGCGTGGTGATGCACACCTTGAGCCCCCGGTACAAGCCGGACCTCCTGGCCCTGCCGCCCCTGGCCCACCCGCATCCTCTCCTGCACGCAGCGCACCCAGCCCCGCTGGTCTGTGAAGGGCAAGACCACAGCCTGTGGGCAGGACTCCCCTTCCAGGTTGCCAAATGCCTCTGTCCTCCCTCTCCTTCCCTCCAGTCCTGCTACATGGCCTCAGTGCCCCTGGTCTCCCAACACACATTCTTCCCTTGGAAAGCCTCGGGCATGTGGGTGCCAGGCATTGTTGGCTGGGGGCAACCCAGATGAACACATGTGCGGGTCACCTGGGCCTTCCTGCTCCCTGCAGCCTCCAGGAAATCGTGGCTTCCTGGAGAGAGGGCGGGGAAGGCTGGGCACTTGGCGCCCCCTCCTTCCCTCTCCTGCTGTGGGCCTTCTCCGCCCACCTGCCGGCACTGCCCCACCTTGCCCGGAGCAAGAGGTCCACGGGGCAGGTGGGCGTGGTGCGGTTCGTCCAGGCCGATGGTCTCCTCCTGCGGGGCTCCCCGGGGGCAGCGGCTTGTATGTGTATCTTGGGAAAGCTGTTTGGTGTGACATTCCTAGAAGGATGTTCTTTGCTCCTTACAACACTCTGCAGGATGGCATCCTTTTGATAACGTGGCGTTCGCTACCCAGGCTGGTGCTCAGCCCAGGGTTCAACATTTCTGGGGCTCCAGCCAGTTCTGGGGGCTGGCCATGTGTCCTGGGGGAACTTGAGAACATGCAAGCCAGTCCCTGACCCCAAGCGACTGTACCACACCCTTCTGGAACATGGCACCGTACGCTGTCACCCCACGTACGTGTCCTGAGTACCTCGGGCCTGAGCCCGAGACCTCATAGGTCTGTGCTGCCCGTAAGGATCGTAGGAGTTGGAGCTGCTCGTGTTGGCCAATGGCCACAAAGTGGCTTCAACATCGCAAATGCGTTATCTTGTGGTTCTGGAGGTCAGAAGTTTGGTGTGGGTCTCACGGCGCCCGGTGTCGGCCAGGCTATGGTCCTTTCTGGAAGCTCTGGGGGAGAGTGCGTGTCCTTGTTGTCTACAGGCTCTGGATGCTGCAACATGCTTAGCTTGTGGCTCCTCCGGCCAACTTGAGAGTGTGGCCACGTCCCTTACACGGCACGTCTCTGACCCCCTCCCACCTCTTCCCCACGTGTTAGGACGCATGTGGTCAGCCTGGGCCCACCTGCATAAGCCAGGGCAGGGTAAGCTGATTTGCAACCTGATTCCCTTTTTCCATGTGAGGTCACTATTCACAGGTGCCGGGCATTAAGACGTGAGTATCTTTGGGGGGCATCCTCTGTCCACCAGGGAGAGGAAGTTATGAACGCAGTAGCTATGCCATGACGTGGGCAGCAGGTCAGAGGAGGAGGCATCCCTGTAACCCGGGATGGAGGGGGTAGCATGACGGGGAGCAGACTCGGAGCTGGATTTTAGGGTGGGGTGGTTCTGGAGCGGCTCCTGCCAGGCTCTGCTTGCCTTGGGCTTTCTCAGATTGTGGCTGAGCACCAGGGGCCGTGTTGACTGATTTCTTTTGTAGAGGTATGATTTACCTGCTGGAGAGCACCGTTCAGTGCATTTTGACCCACGTATACGCCTGTGTCTCCGAGCACGCTTAGGACGGACGTTCATGACCCCGCAAATTCTTTCCGGGTGCTTCCCGGCCACAGCGCCTTCCCCAGGGCTCTGGCAGCAGAGGCCAGTGTGACTGATTGAATTTCCCAGAGACGGACCCCTGCAGCCCGCGCTCCTGGGCCGGCCGCCTTGCACGCAGCCGATTGTCAGCCACAGTGCCGCAAGCACCGGCGATCTGTCCGTATTTGTCCACGAAGAGTGCTCTGTCACATGTTGTGTATGCCCAAGGTACTCTGTTTACTCATGCTCCCAGCGACGGGCATTTGGGTTGCTCCTCGATTTGGGCTCATAGGAAGGTTTCTGTGCAAGCCTTTCCGCAGACATGGCTTCCTTTGGCCCCGGGGAAATTGCTGGGTGCACGCCTGCGAGGTCACAAGACAGGAATGCATTTTCGCTTTGGAGGAAACATCCAGAGAGCCGTCCCAGCTGCTGAGTCTCCTGGGGCTCCTGTGGCCCCACATCCTGGCCCATGTCTGCTATTACCCGTCCCCTATGGGGCGGCCGCCCTGTGGGTGTGGCGGGTGTCGTGCTGTGGACGTCATCCACGTTCTGGGGAGGATCGTAGCGCGTGGCTTCCATGTGCTTGCTCCCTGAGGTCAGCGTCTTTCAAAGGATCTGGGCATGTCTTTGTCCATCTTTAATCGGGCCACTTCTCTTGCCACTCCTGGATTTGGGGGCTCCTCGTGCACTCTGCCGTCAGCCCTTTGCCAGGTACATGCTGCAGATACTGACCTGAGCCTGGACTTCACCTTTTGTTTTCCAACTGCATCTTAAAGGAGTAGGGAGTTTTTAAAATTTTAAATGAAGTCTCACTTCCTTATTTTTTTTCATGATCAGCACTTTCTGTAGAGCGCCCCCCACCCTCCATTTTTAAATGTTGGAAGTTGGCAGACCTGGAATATACATAGAATCTGGAGATGGTACAAAATACGTTCCACGTGTTTCCATCCCCAGCACACTCGCTCTGCACCAAGTCAGACTGGTATGGGCCTCGAATGTTCCTTCTCTTTGGGGAGCCCCACGTAAAGCAAGTGTTTAGCCAGCAAATTCCACTCTCATGCATTAAATGAAATAGGTGAGTGATTCAAGGAACCCACAGCACACACAGGGTGGCTCAGGGCACCTTGTGGGGCTGAGCACGACCAATTGATTTCCCGTCATATGGCAACGAACATCAGGGGCCACGGGCAGCCCCGGCAGAATGATGTGGGGGCCCCGGGTTTCCCACTGCTTCACTGATACACGTTTGGCTCAGTGGTGTGGAGAGGTCAGGACCTGTGTCTTCAGTGTGGGAAGTCCTTGCTCTTCTGAACCTTGGTTCTCGTCTCTTAGGACCGTGTGTTTCTAGGGACATCACAGTTTCCAACAGGCTTTCCTTCGTGGTAGCTCATCCGGCCTGGGGAGGAAGCAGGGCGGGAACCATCCTCCCCGATTACACACAAACACCCACGTCTCGGCACCCAGGAGCGCACCCGGCTGGGCTGTGACCTGTTCTTCGGAATCCTAACGCTGTGAGCTGTGCCACCCTTCCTGGCGGAGCGGTGGGCATGGTGATCCTGGGGTTATTGCGTGTGGCTCCCCTGTGCTTCTAGCGTGCAGGCTTCTTAAGGATGGGGGCTTTCCAGCCGGATGTATTAGATGGGGCGATGTCAGCCGCTGTAACAGATGAGCCCATAACTTCAGCAGCTTCCGTCCTGCTGTGGCCTCACCCATTCTAAAGGGCCTTCGGGGCCTCTGGCTCAGAAGGGACACACACCACTGCCTCTCTGTTCCCCGTGTCAAGGATCGGTCGTGGGACCTGGACGCCACAGGGCTCGGCCTTGTGGTCCCCGGCCAGGAGCCACTACTGGCGACTGACCCCTCAGGAGGATAGGGACAGAGGGACATGAACATGGGCTCAGATAACAGATATACGTACATATAAAGAGATTCATTTTAAGGAACTGGCTCAGGTGATTGTGGGGGCTGGCAAGTCTGAGATCCACAGGGCAGGTTGGCAGACTGGAGCCTCGGGCAGGAGCTCTGGCTGCAGTCATGAGGCAGAATTTCTTCTTCGAGAAGCCTGATCACCCACACTGTCCAGGAAACCGCCTCTGCTCAGAGTCAGCTGGTTGTAGGTGCTGCGAGCCGTCTAGAGAACACCTTTACGGCAACACCTGGACGAGTGCCTGGCGGTAGCCAGGTGCTGCGGTCTGGTCAGGTTGACACCTAGAACTGACCACCACCATGACCGACCCACACTGTGGATGGAGGGAGGGATGGTGGCCGCCTCCGCCCGGCAGGGACCTCAGCAGCCCCTCCAACTTTCCATCACGTCCCCATCCGTAAGTCCAGGCTGTCAGGTTGGAGCCCAGCTTGGTCCTGTCTCTGCAGGATTCCACACATGAACCACGA